AACATTATCACTCAATTTTCCCTCCCATTTCCCTATCCATTCAGAGTCTTTCAGTCAACAGGATTCAACTTCTAAACCCTTGATCTCTTTCTCACTAAATTGCTCACTATGCAACTTACTGCCTCCATGCTAGCCAGCACTCTAAATGGTTCCTTTGTATCAGGCACTATTCACAGCTTTTTTCAACCTATCCCCTTTCCTCAACAAACAACCAGTTCCCAATGTCAATTTCCACCCTCTCCACTCAGTTAAGCTGCGAATCTATGCCAATCATTTCTGTAACCCGTTGCTTGAATTCTCTAATCAGACATGTGCATCTACAACATGCCAAAATGGTTCCAACCAAGATACACAAATGATATTTTCTGTGACTGTGATTTGTGGTCTCCTTATCCACCTGGAGTCTTGTTATGTCATTACTATATCACAGACAATGAATGGAGAAATCAGAAAAGTTCAGTGGTAGGAAATGAAGGGTAACAGTCAATGAGTGTTTTTATGAGTAAAAAGCTGTTTTTGGTTGGGCCTGCAAAGCTCTGTGCTAGTGGCCTCCCTTTCTGAGGTATAAATCAATGATTTAGACTTCAGTATTTGGTAACATGATTACAATGTTTGCAAATGATACAGCAATGGATCACTGATCATAGGTGGAGGAAAACTTCCATTATTTGGTTCCCCAAGTAGTACTTTTCTCATATAATCAACAATTTCTATCATTTGTTAGTTCCAAAATCATCCAAGCTATTGCAAGTTTTCAGTCTATGTGCTTGGAATTACCAGCCAAAGTCGCATACTGGCCATTGGAAGTTGGGTTCAAATGCAGCCTAAAATGATGGATTGAAAATCTGTTTTTCTTGATGTTTATGATAGCTAAATATCACTTCAGATGATCTCCATGCAATAACTTGAGAACATAGATATTTTTGATCAACCTATTCGGATTGATCAGCAATAAATGGCCAAGTTGGATTTGTCCTGTTCATTTGTGGACAGTACTTAACCTGGGCAATTTTCCATGTTGCTGGGCAGATGCCAGTGTTTTAGCTGCACTGGGATAATTTGGCTACTACAGTGGCTAAAACCAGAACTAGCTTTCAGTCATATTGCAGAAATTTTATTGGGACCAGTATTATTTGTAGTACGCATTGTCTCAGCTTTTTCTTGATATCATGAGGAGTTAATTGAATCAGCTGAAGACTGATATTTGTGTTGTTGGGAACTTCAGGAAGAGGCCAAGATCGATCATCCCTTAGGTCCTTCTGGCTGAAGACCGTTTCAAATGCATCAACCTCATCTTTTGCACTGGTGTGCTGGGATCTTCCATCATTGAGGAAAAGAAAATTTGTTGAGCCTTCACCTCCAATTGTGTTGCTTAATTGCCCTCCACCATTTATGACTGGATGCAGCAGAACTGCAGAACTGAGATCTGATCTGTCAGTTGTGGGATCGCTTAGCCTTGCCCATGTTACGCAACAAAAACAGAAATTGCTGGAGAAACTCAGCAGCATCTGTGGAGAGAAAGCAGAGTTAATGTTTTGATTCCAAAGACCACTCAAATAGTTAACTCAGCTTTCTCTCCACAGATGCTGCGAGACCTGCTGAGTTTCCCCAGCAATTTCTGTTTTTGTTTCAGATCTTCAACATCCCATTTATTCATGGTTTTTTCCTGTCCAAATCATGTTGTTTCTGCTGCTTCGCATGCAAGTAGTCCTGTATTATAGCTTCACCAGGTTGGCACCCCATTGGTGACTATGCTTGGTGCTGGTCCTGGCATACCCTTCTGCATCCTCCATTGATGCCAAGACTTGGCAGTAATGATAGAGTAATGGGTACACTGTGCCATGACATTACACATTGTGATTGAATACATATCTGCTATTGCTGATGGCCCACATGTCTAGTCTTGAGTTGGTAGATCTGTTGAAAATCTACCTGATTTAACACGATGATAGTGCCACAACAAGACAGAGGGTATTTCAATATGAAGATGGATTTTGTTTCGGCAAGAACTATACAATGATTACTCTTAATGAGACTTTCACTGATAGATGCATCTACTGCAGGTAGGTTGGTGAGAATGAGGTCAAGCATGCTTCTCACTCACCACCTCCCACTGGTCAGTCCTTTAGGACTCAGTCAGGCCTGAAGATGTTACTGAGTGTTCTTGGGGATGGACATTGAAATTCTCAGAGTATATTCTGTCCCATTGACAGCTTCAGTGCATCCTCCAAGTGGTGTTTAACATAGAGAAGAACTAATTTATCAATTGAGGGGAGGTACTAGGTGGTAATCGGCAGGCGATTTACTTGCTACGTTTGACCTGATACCATGAGACTACATGGGGTGCAGAGTCGATGTTTAGGAATTCAATGGGTATACCTCTGAGTGTGATGTTACCTCTGCTTGGCCTGTCCTATTAGTGGAACCAGACATACCCAAGGCTGATGATGGTGATACCAATAAAGTATGATTCCATGAGAATGACTTTGTGACACAATTGGATACAACTGAGTGCCAGGCTAGGCCATTTCAAATGGTTTTCAGTGTCAGCCTTATTGTTGTGAATGATACTTGCAGTGGAGAGGTTGTCTTATGAGCAAAGGCTAAACAGATCAGGACCTTGTTCAGTGGAATTTAGAAGAATGAGATGCTGACCTAGCCAGTGACACCTTCGTCCTGTGAATGAATGCAAAAAAAACTCAGTGAAACATACAGGATCCTTGAGGTGTTTGACAGGTAAAGGCTGAGAGGATGTTTCTCCTCATAGGAGAGGCTAGGACCAGAGGACACAGTCTCAGAATAAAGCGGCACCAATTCAAGACTGAGATGAGGAGGAATTTATTCTCTCAGAGCGTTGTGAGTCTTTGGAACTGTTTGATCCAGAGAGCTATGGGGAGGAGTACTTGTGTATATTTAAGGCTGAGAAAGATTCATTCTTGATCAATTAGGAAATCAAGGGTTAAGGGGAAGGGGCATGAAAGTCAACAAGAGACATGTTGGATCAGCCATGATCCTATTGAATGGCAGAGTAGTCTTGAGGGGCTGAATGTCCTGCTCCTGTTTCTTATGATAGAATGGTCTATGGATCTGGGGTTGCATGTAGGCTAAAACAGGTGAGAATGGCAGATCTCTTTCCCTAACGGGCATTAATGAACTGGATAGGTTTTTAACGACAACACAATAGTTGTATGGTCATCATTAAACTAACTTGTAATTGCAGATTTATTAATTGAATTCAAATTTCATTATTTGCCATGGTGAGATTGCAACACCCACTCAGAGCATTAGCCTGGATTTCTAGATTCTAGTCTAAGGACAATATCACTATGCCACCATTTGTTCTTCAATTCTGAACATTTTTCAGGACTCAGTTTCTCAACTGTTTCCCAAGATTTATCGAGTGGATTTATAAATTTGAATATGTATTGCATATTACACTCATTCTTCTGATGAAAGGCCACACCTGAAACTTCAACACTGTTTCTCTGTCCTCAGATGGTTCCAAACCTGTTGGGTATTTTCAGAGATTTTTGCTTGCCCCCTGATTTTTCCATTGTTTGAGATTTGTGTTCAGACATCCAAAACGTCTAGCAATTATGTAACAAATATTTTTGAGCTTCAGAATTATTTCAGTCTAGATGTACGTATGACAATTTTTGTCTCCTTAATTCTGCAGTTAGATTACATTCTTGAACTCATTCCTTGCTACTTTATTTATATATATTCATATATAATATGGATCTTGTTGGTTTTCAATGTTAGAATATTGTCAAGAGTAATCTGCTGTCTCCCAGATGTTCACTAAGAGCTATTAATTTTCTTTGTGGCAGCATCACACAATTTGCAAAATAACACAAGGCATTGTGTTTGTATTAGACTGTGGGAAATGTCTATATTGAATATATTATCATGCAATAAAACATTTTGGTGGGTACAAGTGTATGAGAGATAGTAGTGCATACTTGGCCCAAAAATCATCACCTTATTCCAAATCTGAAAGTAAAATTTCTTCTGAAGCTGACAGAAAGTTGTGAATATCTGCCTCAGGGGAATTGCTTGTTTATTCCAAAATGTTAATGGGTGAGAGAACGAACACCCTTTCACATGGAGTCAATTATTTTTACCACACACGCAGTGAGGATATCCATTTCAAATAACTGGCAAATTCAGTAATACAGAATGCAAATAACTTTACTGCATTGGCCAAGTGCTACACCACTGCATTTAAATTAATGTCTGGAACATTGTTGCCGACTTTGCTATGGAAAAATACCTTATTGATTTTGATTTCAATTTTTGAATACAGGCTCAGAAATGGCCTATCAGAAAGTGGACCAGAGATTTCGAGTACACACTCAAGATGTGGACGCTGAAGAACTTCCAGTTCCTTCACTAGACTTAGAGTGGGACATGGAAAAAGAGTTAGAAGAAAGTGGATTTCATGGCTTTGAACCAGATCATTCGAGCCAGCATCATTTGGGTAACTCCGCTGGAAGCACTGATCTTGACTTTGAATTTATGCAGCCTTCAGCATCACCTCGAGGAAGATTTGCACGTCTAGAAGAAGAGTCTGATTACATGGCGCATCCAAGACAAGAATCAAAAAATCAGCAGGGCAGCTTTACTAACATAGTAAAACTCTTTGTCGCAGGGTTTATTATATTTATTTGTGGTTTTCTAATTGGTTACTATGGACGGAAAAGTAACTCAAAACATACCTTGCCAAATAACATAACAACACCAATGCCGTCTGCATCTTCAACTGCAGTATCTGATGATGGCACTATCCTTCAGAATATTGTTCAGGCAATTGAAGGCGACAGCATCAGGAGGTTTTTCAGGTTAGTGCAATTTTAATACAAAATTTTTGGCATGACAACTTTGATACCAAAATAGAGAAAGGAGAAAACCAACTTCATCTTTTATCATACAGTTTTCTAAGATTGGCGCAACCGTGTTCGTGAATTGAGATTACGTCTGAGGGTTTTTCCAAAGGTTATATTAAGAACATGATGAATTTTGTTCGTAAATAAACTTTTCATTAAGTTATAGTGTTTGAACTTAAAGTTAAAATATTGTACAATAACTTTCAAAGAATAACCAGTGACTTCATAATTTCTTTGTTACAAACACAGACTAACGATATGATTAATTAATGCCTCTGATTTAATAGACTATGATTATTTTGTTATTTTTAATAATATATAATGATTTATTTGATCTTGCAAAATGAATGACAGTGGTCATTTGAATGTATTTCCCAATGCCCAGTAGTTTTGAAACTTTGAATAATTGCAGTCCTAGTAGCAAATTTATAATAAATCATGTTATTTTGCCACAGTGATAATAAAAGAACAGAAATATACATGCAAAGTCAGGGTCAGGTGTAACTGGGCAATGAAGTTGAGCTGATTGTCCTTCTCTTCAGAAGTGGATGTTGTAGCCAGGAAAGGTTCTTTCAGTGTAAGTCTAATGAGTTACTTGTAGTTCATTCTGTAGAGAGTAAGTGCGAGGCAGTCCAATATCATAGTTCAGTAATGTTGGAGGGAGTGGACGTTAGGTGTGTTAGGACTTTTGCCAATTAATCAAACTGCTCTTTCTTTGATCATATTGAGCTTCTTGTGTATTGTTGCAGTTAAATTAATCACCAGGTATGCAGTGAAGATTCCAGTGCTCATTAATTTCACCACTTAGCTTTGTAAGTGGTGAAGTTAATGACAGGGTAATGACAAACCAGAATGGCAGCCTTATAATCTTGTTAGTATAGCTAGTTATTGCTGCCTTCACCCCACCCCCACCCCAGCTGTATTGACAAGGCTGGTGCTAGCTATGATCTGGAAGATGTTGTTGGAACTTTATTTGTCTCCAAGATGCTTCGTGATAGAGCAGCTTTGCTGGCATTATACTTAAAATGAAATGTTTAATGTAATTCAAATCTGTTGTGCATCTGTAGCTACAGTCTGAATGTATGCACAGAACTGTGCTCCCTATATTTTTAATGTTTAAGAGCTCAGATAGGAGTGCCCAGATTCCCTCTTTGTTGCAAAAGACAACTTTATTGTCAGCTTGAAAGTCGGACCAGTCTTCGCACTGGAACAAAGTTGCACCACATTTGATACACACCCTGAGGGATTTTAAAAAAAGACCATTATAGCTTTAGAGCTGAAATACTGTATTATGTAGTCATTATGCAAATTTTGTATTGATATAGAGTGGTGGTTCAGCTAAGGTTTTGTTCCTATAATTCTATATGTTGAAAAATATCAAGATAGAATTGTAGAATTTGATCACACAAAAGGAGACAATTCAACAATAATTCTGCGCTGGCTGTCTGAAAGAATTATTGATTTCATCCCATTCCCTCTTTTGTGTTTCTTTTCAAATTCGTAACCTGTTTTTGATCTCTGGGGGTGATCTTAAATTTATGCCCTTTATCTACAAATTTACTGTGATGTGGAGGTGCCAGTGTTGGACTGGGGTGGACAAAGTCAGAAATCGCACGACACCAGGCCTTTAGTTCTCTCAGGGCAGCGACTTGAAAGGAATTTGAGGATTTACATATAGATATTGATCAATTGAAACCTTCTAGCTGATTAAAGATTTAACAGCATCTTGGATTTGTTTAATACATCTCATCAGTGGAGTGACATTTTGATCTTTTCCTTACAAATTCTATGCCTGATACCACCTCATTAACACCTGAAGAAGAAGCAAGGCTCTGAAAACTTGTGTTTTCAAGTAAACCTGTTGGACTATAATTTGGTGTCGTGTGATTTCTGGCAGACTTACTGATAAAAGGAAATATCTTTCCTTTGTTTTCTTCATCAGAACTTCTCATTGTTGTGAACATTAGCTCTGAGAGCAACTTTAAAACTTATTTATTCTAACAATGAGTTTCTCATCATAATTGTACTCCCTCATCCATTGAATCAAATAAAACTCTCCAACAGCCCACCCTGTCCTTGGTGTTGTTCTAAAAGAATGGCATCCAAACCCGGGCATAAAATTTTAACTGCAGTTTATTTACTGATTTACATTCACCTTTTTACATGTATATTCTAGTCTGCTATTTAGAAAATATAACATCCCACATATGTCCAAAGATTCAAGTCTCTCTGTTCCTTTTAGAATATCAGCATTTAGTGTAGCATCTTCTCCCTGTTCACCTTCCCAAAATATATTCCTTACATTTCTCCACAGAAATTTCATCTGGCATCTATTTGCCCAGGAAACCTGTCTAGATTATCCTGAAATAGATTCTATTTTTTTTGCCATGTTTAACCATATTCCATTCTTTTGCCTCTTTTGAAAATATTGATATTGTATTTCACATTCAAGTTCCATATGATTTTTTTCTGTTCTATTTGATTTGTCACTGACCTGTAATGACCTCACTGTTTAGGTGCCTCTGGTCTAAAACATGTTCATTAACCACCAGTCTCTTTATTCTGGCTGTTGATGAAGATCCTGCCCCTGTTGCCACACTTTATTAACATGTGAATTCATTTGATAATAAGGGTTTATTCCAGCAAAGCCTGTTCGAACTCCTCATGCACAACTTCCGACATTTCTTTCTTCAGTGCGCTCCATTATTTCTTCAAAGAAGTCCAATCAAATTTGTCAGACACAGCTTGTCTTTTACTTGTACCTATTGGTGGTCTTACAAGCGACCATTAATTTTGATTAAACCTTCACCACTGGAGGTTTAATGCACTATTATTAGGCAGGTTGCTAGATAGTGAGGTGGTGTCAATTTTGATAAGCTTGGAAAGAAAATTTAACTGCTTTTTAAAGCACAGCATATTCATGCAATTGAAAAAAATGTTTAGAGGCAATGAATTATTAAAATATTCATGAGGTGGATTTGATGTTGTTTCCCATTAAGTGTAAACAATAAGCAGTTTGTTGGTCCATCTCTATAGTCAACAAAATATTTGCATCTATCATATTGGATAGTAATTGATACTCTCCCGGGTGAATCAAAGATGACAACAAAGTAGAAACTCAAGGATTCAAATATTTAGTCAGATATTGAAGCAAAATGCTACGAGACTATCTAGCAAATACTTGGAATAATAGAAATGCCGGAGACCAGCTAGTCAACTTGTTTAAGCGAGATGACCCACTGATTTTGGGAAGCCTGGTGCATTTTTCATTTTGTATAATTAATTTCCATTAAATTGCAGATACTGCATTAATTAAGTCTAATCATTCCTCCTGCTCTGCCTGTTTTTACTGTACTATGAAATAAAATAACTCATCAGTTTACATCAGGCATCATCTCGCCAAATGTTTCCTTGCACATGTGAAAGACTTGCATCCCTGATTCGTGTCAGGAAGGGACACTATATAAATAGACCCCATGCTTTTGTATGAAAGCAATGTGTCTCGATTCGTGACACATTAAAATATTTCTGAATGCAACCCATGCCACAGAAGCCAAGAGCGTAAATATGGGAGAACCATATTTGTAGCAGATGTTTTATACTTTTCTGAACACATTTGGCAACCCTTCAGAGCTCTGGCCAAACTTCCATATTTATTGTTGTTTGAAAAATTTGCAAATGTGGATTTGAGTTGAGAACGAGGTTGGTCTCCAGCTGTGACCACGAACCACCTCATGAATATTTTAATAATTAGCTGAGTCTTGCAGTTACATAAAGAGCACATGGAGAAGGTACTATGTCAGTATTGTGTCAGCAAAAGCCTTGATATTTGGATTTTAAAGCATAATGTGTATAATCTTTTACATTTCACAATGATAAGGTCAAATATTTTTGCTACCTGTGGAAAAGGAATACTTATTATTGTTAAAACCTACAGATTAGAGCAAGAGAAATTTATAATTTAGTGACCATGCACAATTTCTTGTTGATTTTGGAATTCTGCTAGGATTTTCTCTCATTCTTTCTTCTACAAACTGCAAGTAAGCAGTTTCAACAGTGCAGCAGTAAGTTGGAGATAAGAATTCTGTGTTGAATTGGGAATAGTTTTCACTGTCTCTTTTCCTGTGCAAACCTGAGACTATACTGAGAAATCCTGGAGTAGGTCTTTGTACTGCTCCAACAATGGAATCGTGTCAGTCTCACAGATAGCAGCTTATGCAACATGTGTAGCAAGCAGGCAGCCGTATCACGTAGTCTTAAGCAGAATAATCCTCACTGAAGTCCAAGGAAGCACCCATCAGCTAGGAGTTTCCGGCACAGCAAGCCTAGTGCAGCTCTCCCAACGCAGTCAAGGGAATTGATAATGGACAGGCATCTAGTCAGGGTGATATTGGTAAGGGAGTCTGTCCATGTGCAGTCTAGGGAGTAGATCACTGTTAATCCATTGGCTGCATTGAGCCAGATCTGAGGGGAATGAAAACATGGTTGAGAAGCTGTATAGGCACCAGTTAGATATCTGGGCTGTCCAGTCAAAGCGATAGGCTATGGTCAGTCTGTTGTGTCTGTCTGTAAAACTAAGGAGGAGAGGGTCAGCATGTGTAGCCATGCGACTGAGTCTAAACAAGTTAGTCTTTGGGACTGGAGGCTGCAAGCTCTGGACAAGGGCACAACAGAATTGTAATGGAGGCAATGGGATTTGCCACCTGGGTATGAAATGAAGCATGGCTGCGAATGGTATAATGTGGGAGGGGTGCATCCTGGCTTCGTGTGGTTGGTGGTGGGGAGTAATGAATGACCGCATCAAGCCTGGTCACTTAATATGCCAGGGGCCTGGGGAAGTGTGATGTCTGTGGGGTTAATGGGATGGACAACTAAAATGGGGGTGTGGATGTTTGGAACCTCACCAACATGTTCAAGTTGAGGCTGGACACCACTGGCAAAGGAATGCTCACTGC